CTCTCTTCCTTCCTCCCTTCCTCTTTTCCTTCCTCCTTTTTCCTTCCTCCTTACGTCTTTGTCTCTGTTCTTCTCTCCTTTCCTTCCTTCCTTGTTTACTTCTTTTTTCCTTTTCCCTTACTTCCTTTTCCCTTCTTTTTCCTCCTCCCCTTCCCCTCCCTGCCTCTTTGTCTCTGTCCCTCTCTTCCTTCCTTCTTTCCTCCCTTTTTCCTTCTTTATCCTCCTTTCCTCCCCTCTCCCTCCCTTTGTCTCTGTTCCTCTCTTCCTTCCTTCCTTCTTTTTCCTTCCTTCCTTTTTCCTCCCTCCCTCCCTCTTTGTCTCTGTTCCTTTCTTTTCCTTCCTTCTTTCCTCCCTTCCTCCCTTTTTCCTTCTTTATCCTTCTTTCCTCTCCCCCGCCTCTATTTGTCTGTTCCTCTCTCTTCCTTCCTTCCTTCTTTTTCCTTTTTCCTCCCTCCCTCTGTCTCTGCTCCTTTCTTTTCCTTCCTTCCTTCCCCCACCCGCCTCTGTTTGTCTCTGTTCCTTTCTCTTTTCATTCCTCCCTTCCTTCCCTTTCTTCCCAACCTGAGCGTGAAAATCCTCTCGACTACACAAGATCTACTTCTCAACAAACTCCTATCCAAATGGGTCCCCTCCTGCCTGAAAAGGAATTTTTAACTCATCGCAATTCAGCCAGCCATGGATTCCCTGTGGTGCCAAAAAAGAAGCCTTAATATTTATCGGGCGAGATAAAACGCACCGCTCTAAATGACACAAATGACTTTCAAGATATTTTTCCTGTCTGGAATCCAGACAGCTGCTGCTTTACGCAAGATTGCTAACCTCTTGAACCCTTAAAGAGTCTGGGAAGATAAACCGGGCAATTTCTCTCGCTTTGCAATTTATTTTATTTATATTTGCAAAAAAAAATTATATTTTGCCCATCTCCCCTAAGGGACTCCGGGCGGTTTACAAAACAGCACAATCGAACAGTCTTAAAACGCCTGAATACGGATCATCCTCGACTTACAGATACAACCGGCGGCAGAATTTCTGTTGCTAAGCGAGACATGTGTTGAGTTTTTGCCCCGTTTTACGACCTTTGCTGCCACAGTGGTTTAAGTGAATCCCTGCAGTTGTTAAGTCAGTCACACAGTTGTTAAGTGAATCTTGCTTCCCCACTGGCTTTGCTTGTTAGCGGGGTTGCAAAAGGTGATTCCTTGACCCCAGGACAAGGAAACTGTCATGAATACGAGTCAGTTGTCAAACATCTGGATTTTGATCACATGTCCGATGGTCATTCAGTATGAAAAATGGTCATAAGTCATTTTATCAGTGTCATTGAGACCTTAAAAGGTGCTCTGACCAAGGCTTCCGAGACTGTAATTAAGCACATCCTTAGTTAAAACAAATCTTGTTTTATTTCAACGCTGGGAATTATGTGCATTCCCAGCCTGTGATGAGTCCCAAACAGTCCCTCGAGATAAGCACCCACCTTTCTCTCCTTTGAATGGCTGCCAACTAAAATGCCAAATGAACTCTTAAAAAAACAACCAAAGTACAAAGTCCATACAGAGCTTCAAGGTTTAATCCGAACAGAGCGAACGACTTTGCTTCCTGCAAAGGTTTCTCTACCTTTGCCTGTCTTTTATACCTTAGGGGAGGGGCAATCACCTCCAAGCCTTACTCCTGAGTCGCCCCTTTTGTCTTAGCTGCTCTTGCCTTCTGGCAGCTCTGTGCATACACACCCTGGGAACAGGCTCCCCTTGTTCCTCTGCCTCGCTGCTGCCAGACTCTGGAGGCCCCACTCCCAGATGGTCTTGGCCCCATCTCTGCATCGGACGCAGGACCCTCGTCCGAGTCCTCCCCACACTCCTGGATTGGTCCCTGTTCTTCCCCACTGTCCAAATCCGCTGCCGTCTGCACAGGCTGCTGGCGAACCACAACAAATGGCCGCTAAAGGAACTGTCATAAGAACTAAACTATAAAATCACAGATATAGCTAACACTTACTCATGAAAGTGAATTTTTAATCCAACATCCCCTCTAAGCCTTTTTTTGACACTTCAAAACTATTGCCCTCGGAAGGGAACCGCTTGCCCTCGGAAGTTGTGGGAGCGCCATCACTTGAGACTTTCAAGAAGAGACTGGACTGCCATTTGTCAGAAATGGTGTAGGGTCTCCCGCTTGGGCAGGGGGTTGGACTAGATGACCTACAAGATCCCTTCCAGCTCTGATTATCTGTTAAATCTGTTAAATCTGTTTTTCTTCCGTCCATACGAGCATTACCAGCTGCTGGTGTGATAAGATTATCTGCAAATATCACCACGCTACTGTCTGAGTACCGACTTCAGAAAGGGCTGTGATGTTTGTTTAACTTTAAAAATATAATAATAATAAGAAGAAGGAGAAGGAGAAGGAGAAGGAAAAGGAGGAGGAGGAGGAGGAGGAGGAGGAGGAGGAGGAGGAGGAGGAGGAGGAGAAGGAGAAGAAGAAGAAGAAGAAGAAGAAGAAGAAGAAGAAG